TCTAGCGCTGCGGTCCACCGTAGTGGGTGGGGCCCACCGTGGTGCGCACTTGGAAAGTCTCAGAGCCCCCCAGGGCCTCTTGCAGCCACCCACGCAGCCTGCCAGCCTGATGCGCCCGGATTGCCCCCGTGGGCCCTGCATCTCTCTGCTCTGCTCCCTGTTTAATTCTCTGGGCAGGGAAGGAAAGGAAACATTCCTCAGGCATGAGAAATGTTGAGTCGGAATAGTCTTTACTTCTTCTTCTTAGGAAATCGTTTATCAGGTTTTCAAGAGTTGTTGACGGAGGGAGAGAAGGGAGGCAGGATTTAGGGAGGTGGGCTTCTGAGAGAATGATGAGAGGACAAGGGTGAACCTCTGCTCTTGGCCCAGCACCCCCTCTGCACAGGTGCTGGTTTCCTCTCTCAGACCAGCCTGGTCCTCAGGCGATTTAACCTGGCTGGCTCCAACCTCCAGGGGAGGAGAGACCTGTAGCACCCCGTCCTGATGCTCCAGGATCCAGGCCAGGATTGCTGGATTCTCTGAATCCCAGACCCTGATTGCTGGGCTATGTCTCCCACACCCCTCAACTCCACTCTTGGGATGCCTCTTTGGTGAAGGCTCTGGATCAGTCTGGGTCTTCCAGCCCTGACATGGCCCTGAACACCTGCTGCTGCTCCCCTGCGGCCGTGAAGAAGAGGCTGCCCATCCTGGCATGGCTGCCCAACTACCCCGTGCAGTGGCTGAAGATGGACTTCATCGCTGGACTCTCAGTTGGGCTCACGGTCATTCCCCAGGCGCTGGCCTATGCCGAAGTGGCTGGACTCCCACCCCAGGTGAGGTGTCTGACCCTGCTGTCACCAGGTCTCCTCCCCTCCTTCCCGTCTGACCCCACTGCGGCCTCAGCACCTGCCCAGAAGCAGAATTAGAAATATATAGTGTCAATTCTAGACACTGTTAGCTATCCCAGGGACTCGAGAAACCTTTGGCTTACAATCTGGAATATGTGATACACAGTACTAGGCCTCCCTTGGCACACACAGGCACCAAGCTAGTTATGGATCTTCCAGCTGGGGCCAGCGAGGTGACTCACAGAGGCCTTCAGACACTTCCTCAGCCTCCCAGACTCAGACACAGCACAGGGGCCTTTGTGTTCCCACAGGCAGCAACAGTCCCCTGACCCTGTCTGGTCATCAGCACTCCGATGCTAAAAAAGAGGCCTCCTAATCACTGCAGGTTCACAGCTGCAGATAGGAAAGGGTGGGTATCCATCCTGCCTGTGTATGCCAATGTGCCCAGGACACAGCCGATCCCCACGGATCCCCACACCAGGGACACATGTGGACAGTCTCTGGCCTCCTGGATGCTCATTGCTATCTTTTCCCAACAGTACGGACTCTACTCTGCCTTCATGGGATGCTTTGTGTATTTCTTCCTGGGCACCTCCCGGGATGTGACTCTGGGCCCCACGGCCATCATGTCCCTCCTGGTCTCTTTCTACACCTTCCACGAGCCTGCCTATGCTGTGCTGCTGGCCTTTCTGTCCGGCTGTATCCAGTTGGTCATGGGGGTCCTGCATTTGGGTGAGACTCTCTGCCTTCCTGCCATGGGCAGGAGGTGCTTCTGTTCTGCTTTTCCTGGAATACCGAGGCTCTACCTCCTAGGGATGTCCTTGACCTCAGCATTTCCTTGTTCGCATTCCAAGGAGTGTGTGTGTGTGTGTGTGTGTGTGTGTGTGTGTGTGTGTGTGTGTGTTGAGAGGGTGATGTTCTCAGTTCCCAGCCCGAGTCTATTCTGCTTAGAGACCAAGTTACTTGGAAAAGTGTCCAGGGCCTCAGATCTCAATCTCCCTTTTCTGTTCACCTAAAACAGCCCAAACAGGGTATGTCACTTACCAGTCCTTAGCTGCAGCATCTGCTCCCCAGTCCTCCCGTTCCACCTCTCCCAACCCATATCTGTGCTTGTCTTCTGGGACGGAGTTGAGCTGGAACCAGCTCAGTGTTCCCTCTTGGCTGACCAGGGTTCCTGCTGGACTTCATCTCCTGCCCCGTCATTAAAGGCTTCACCTCTGCTGCTACTGTCACCATCGGCTTTGGACAGATCAAGGTAGGCATAGTGTCCACTCAGGACACTGCCCTTTGGCCACTGCTAGTTGGCACAGGGGTAGCTGGGAGCAGGATCAAGGCCCAACCTGATATCTGTGGCTGGTAGATGTCTTGCTGTTTAAGGTTGTCTGTTCTCCATGGTTCAAGAAGCACATGGTGCTCTCCTGAGTCCCCTGCTAATAAAATGACCCTCCTGGGGAGGTGTTGCACAATGGTCAGATCTTATAGCCGGTGACTTGGGAGACTGGTAATGTCATCCCCTGGCTCTTGCCTGAGTTTTCCTGCCAGTGTGCTTGGTTGGCTTCACAGTGTGACACATACCCTGGCCAGCCCCCGTGATCACGGGCATACTACTGGAATTTCAACAAGCAAATTATTTCCCCACACTAATTTAGCTAGATGATTTTGTTTTTATGCATTTTTCTGATTTGTTTAATATTTTTTAAATGTTGTGCTTTTCAATATATATATATATATATATATTTTTTTTTTTTTTTTTTTTTTTTTGAGTTGATGTCTCACTCTGTCGCCCAGACTGGAGTGCGGTGGCGGCTCCCGGCCACTGCAGCCTCGACCTGCTGGGCTCCGGCGATCCTTCCACCTCAGCCTTCCAAGTAGCCGGAATTACAGACATGCACCACCACGCCCAGCTGATTTTTTGATTTATTATAGAGATGAGGTCTTGCTGCCCAGGCGGGTCTCGAACCCACGGGCTCAGGCAATCCACTCACCTCAGCCTCCCAAAGGCGCGGGATTACAGGCTGAGCCACCGAGCCCGGCTGTTTTTCAATATTTTTATTAAAGACGTGGATAAGAAGTACTAAAATCAAGAATCAGTCAGCTGAGGATGTAATTTATCCTCTTTTTACCAGGTTGTGAGTTCTGTGAGGGTAGGAACTGTCTTGGTTCTGACAGTGGCTGCCCAACCCAGTCAGGGGCACACTCTACCTAGTGTCAGCACTCAGCCTCTGCAGGGCATCCTCCCAAAGCCAGGCTTGCTCCAAGCCAGTCCTCGACAGTCTTTCCTGATAGAGGCACCGTAAGAAAACCGATGACAGGAGCGAGTGTGTATATAAATAAAGTAGAAGGCACTTTTTGCACTCTTGCTCTGTGCCAAGAACTGGGTGAGACACTCTGTAATTCTCACCACACAGTGTGAGGTAGATTTATCATCATCTCCATTTTAGAGACAAGGAAACAATTTAGGTGTGGGTGGATATGATTATGTGCACATGTATGCCAGAGTAAGCTTGAGAAATGCTGTTTCAGGAAACAGTTTGATTTTTATTCTGAAAACAACATTTTTCATTTTTGGTGTCAAGAATGTTCTTTTATAGGATCATAGGAATAAGGGGGCACCTTCTTTTGCATTCTTGCTTGGCAACCTTAGTCTACCCCTTCAAGTCTTGGAAACCTTTAAAAGTGCAGCCATCTGCCTGGAGGAACAGCTTCCTGACATGCCCAGGGCAGAAGACCCCTCACCACCGCCAGTCCCAGGATCAGGGGGTTCCACCCACCAGTGTTCTCCCTCCATCCCCACCATGTGTGCTGCAGATTTTGGGGTGGGGTCGTCAGAGCCTGTCACCCTGGAAGTTTAGGCCTGGAGTTCCCCCTTGACACTCCTTACTGAGTCCCAAGCTACATAAAGAACTAGTTCCAACTACTCAGGGGCCAAGCCAGAGGATCATTGCTAGAACCCTGGAGTTGGAGTCCAGCCTGGGAACATAGCAAGACCCCCTCTCTAAAAGAAACAAGAGAGAGAACTAAAACTCTAAGTAGAGCTCTCCCTCCCTCCCAAGGGCCCCTAGGACCGGTATCACGGTGGGAGGCCCTGACTTAGCAGGGAGGTTCTCCCATCCCTCTTCCTTAGAACCCCTTGGAGTCCGCGCGTGATTTTTCCTTCCGGTAGGGGTGGAGTCGGGAGGGCGGGCCACTGGGTGATGGACGTCACTTGGAGCCAGTAGAAGCAAGGGCCTGCCTGGCAGGGGGCGGGCGGCCGAGTTGACCGGCCCAACCTTGAGCCCTTGGCGGCGGGGAGGCGGCGGGTGGCTCAGGACCTTGGACCTCCCAGATATAGAACCAGTATTGCTTTGGGATCCCCTAGACTGCTTTTGTTTTTTAAGAACCGAAAGTAATTTAGAGAAAAATATCATTGACTCAAACTCTGTGAAGTACTGCCTTCCCAGATGATAACTTTGCTTTCCTGCTTTTGAGGGCTTTGGGAATGGGCAGGTGGTCCCCTGAGCACCTGACATGCTCCCGAAACGGCCCTGGTGTTGGGGATCTGGCCTCAGCCCAGGCTACGCCGCTGGGACTTTCTCTTCTTCCTGAGACTGGAGGGAGGGAGGTGAGTCAGAGGCAAAGCATCTTGGTTTGGGGGAAGGGTATCTGATCAGCATCTCTGTTTGGACAGAACCTCCTGGGACTGCAGAACATCCCCAGGCAGTTTTTCCTGCAGGTGTATCACACCTTCCTCAATATCGGAGAAACCAGGTACCCATGGGTTTTTGTCTCTTCCCCCATATAAGGAAGGCCTTCCCTCTAGACTCCTCCTCTCCCAGCCTCTCCCTTCATTTCTACTCCCGGGGGCATTTATTCCTTCTGGAACTTTGCTATTCAAACGTGGGTCCCTGCAGCAGCACTGTCATCAGCATCTGGGTACTGGTTAGAAATGCAAACTCTCCGGCCAGTCCCAGACCTGCCAAATCAGAACCAGCAATTTTTTTTTTTTTTTTGAGTTGGAGTCTCACTCTGTCGCCCAGACTGGAGTGCAGTGGCCACTCCCGGCCACCGCAGCCTCGACCTGCTGGGCTCCGGCCATCCTTCCGCCTCAGCCTTCCAAGTAGCCGGAATTACAGGCATGCGCTACCATGCCCGGCTGATTTTTTTATTTATTGTAGAAATGAGGTCTCACTGCCCAGGCGGGTCTTGAACCTGCAGGCTCAGGCAATCCACTCACCTCAGCCTCCCAAAGGCACGGGATTACAGGCTGAGCCACCGAGCCCGGCCAGAACCGGCATTTTAACAAGAAACCTGTGGTCCCCATGCATGGGAAAGTTTGAGAAGTTCTGCTCGAGGAAGCTGGAGAGTCAAGCAGTGCAACTCCCTCCACAGAGCTTTTCTTGGGGGGCAGGAAAGGGAAGAGACTGTAGAAAGAAAAAGCAGGCAGTTTCTCTCTCAGATGGAGCTGTGATTTATAGAGGGAGGGAATACAGGGTGTGGGAAAGCTGGTGCAGATAGAACACAGATGCCAAAGGCACAGCAGGCGAGATTAAGAGACCTGGGGGAGAGGACAAGAAGCACTTCCCTTAGATGGCTTAAATGAAGAGTCTCTGATGGAGGGTTCTTCCCTGCTAGACCCAGCAGGAAGCCAGGATACCGCTTCGCCTCTCTAACTGGAAGGGACCAGAGGAGGAAATGACTTGGGAGGAGCTGTAGAGGTGGCTTCCTGGTGCTGAGGGTTGGAAGGACATGGGGAGATCCTGGACCATCTTTCCCTCCCTTCTCATCTGCTGCTGTGGCTTCCCAGAGGCTGAATCCAGCTGAAACCAGTAGATTCCCAGCCTTTTGGTTGCAGCAGTGGGCAGAGCTCAGCCTCCTGGGGAGCAGTGATTTCGGAGCCTGTCCAGTCAGGGAGCATCGTGGACTGTCAGAGGAGAAGGGGGCCTTAGTGATGGTCTAGTCCAAAGCCTTCTGGAATTGAGGCATCTACAGTGCATCAACTGTTCGGCCTGGTCCCCATCTTTTGTGATCACTCACCAGATCCTGTTCTTTAGACTTGAGTCCCAAAGGGTTATGGGACTGGAAATGCAAGCGGGGAACCCATCCGCCGTGACCTGGGACTCTCCACTCCTACTTCTGCACAGGCTTGCGAATTTACTGGATATTCAATACAATTTTGAAATAGAACAGGGGATGTGAATTACTTAGGAGACCACAGAGCAGCTGAGAGCAAGCTTTCCAGCAGAAGCTGGAAGCTTGAGTCAGTGGGAGTTGTGGGCCGAGTTGGGTATTGACCCACCCTCTGTCTGTCTGCAGGGTGGGTGATGCCGTCCTGGGCCTGGTCTGCATGGTATTGCTCATGGTACTGAAGCTGATGCAGGACCATGTGCCTCCTGTCCACCCTGAGATGCCTCCCGGTGTGCGACTCAGCCACGGGCTAGTCTGGGTTGCCACAACAGGTGAGGGGCCTTTCGGCTGAAGAGCTGGTTCCACAGATGTCATGCACAACCTGGGCTGCACATTGTGGTCACCCAGGGAGCCCTGCGTTCCATCCCTAGAGATTCTCATGTCACTTATTGGTCTGGGCTTGACTTGGGCTTTGGGACATTTATTTATCTATTTGTTTATTTTTTATTTTGAGTTGGAGTCTCACTGTGTCACCCAGGCTGGAGTGCAGTGGCATGCAGACTCACGACCACCCCAGCGCTGACCTTCTGGGCTCCAGCAATCCTTCCGCCACAGCCTGCCTAGTAGCTGGAACTATAGGCGTGTGCTACCACACCTGGGTAATTTTTGATTTATTGTAGTGATGTCTCGCCACGTTGTCCAGACTGGTCTCAAAACCGTGGGCTCAGGCAGTCCATTCACCTCAGCCTCCCAAAGTGCTGGGATTACAGGCTGAGCCACTGAGCCCGG